GTCGAATCCACATGGACCTGGACCAAGACCCAAATAATATTCGGATCCAATATTTAAACCCATAACCGAACCCAAATCGAGTCCGGTCATCGAGTCTCAGATCGGGTCTGGGTCCATTGCTACCCCTAGCCTTACCCCTAACAATTTCACAACCTACCCTTCTCCAATACTTGCTAATGAGACAGGACACCTGCCTTACATTAGAAGGGCATTGGTTTGTCCTGTCTTCCGCTTATGCGCCCACTCTAAAATAAGTTTATTATCTTTTACCACCACATGACCCTTGAAAAGAAAAAAGAAATAAATGATTTTTGGGCTTAAAAATGAGCTATCTTCCACGGATTCTTTCTTTCGACCCTTCATTTAGATCCGCTCTGTATTTGGACCTCTAAAGTTAAGGATGCGAAGTCAAGAGAGGATTTACAATGATCACGGATTTATTACTATTTAGGATGTATTTCACCATCTAAAACCCATGAAAACAAGGCCAGACCGATCCTTAATGAATATGGACGCGTAATATTCATAAGGTTGAGGGGAGGCCACGCCGCCCGCTCCTCCTCTGCACCCTAGGCTGCTGGCCGATCCTGCCCCATCTCTCGCTCATCACAGGTCCATGTGGATTCGACTCCACTCACTCACAACACACATGCATCTCACACACACCATGCCTGTGGCTCACCTACCGGCCTTAAAGCACTCAAAGGTGGTGAAAAAGTCATCCCATCTCCCCTAAACATCCCCATCATCATCCTCGTGGGCTCCGAGGGCTATGTCGGGCCACAAGCCCACAACACCTAAACCTATACTACTTACATCCATACACCTGCCTTGAGGCTAAGGGAATCGAAAGCTCGACCTACTCCGGTTACACCTGCTCTCCCCACTGTTAACCTAGGCTATGAGCTCAAAGATGCCAGGAAAAAGGACTAGGACACCTATGGAGTTCGTTGTGAAGGATAGAGATGGCCATCATCCTACCGAAATTTCGTCAGCTCCCAATGGGAGAAAAAAGTTAAAAAGGCATGCACATTCCCGACCACCTTCACATTTGGACCGTGCTGTTGGCTACCATTAAGCCCGAAGCACAAACCCTTGACCTTCCATTCCATCTCATGATATCTATACACTAGCCTTAAGGATGGGGGCATCGAAAGCCCAAACCACTCCAGTGTACCTGCTCTCTCTTCTATTAATTGAGGCTATAAGCGCAGGGATGCCAGGACAGAGGACGGGGGCACTTATGGAGTTCATTGTGAAGGCTAGTGACGGTAGTCATGCCAAAATTTCGTCTGCTCCCAATAGTGGTGTTTATGCTCTAACTTGCGTCGATCTTTGAGCGAGATCAACTTAAATACCATGCGAAATAAATTAAATATATGAAATAATAGAGAGAGTGAGATCGTTCAAATAATAGCTTCAAAAGAATCACGAATTCATACGGATCCAGTTTCCTTTTGAAACTACAACCAGCGGTAGCTTCAGAATCAATGTATAGAGCCTTTAAATGTTTTTAAAATTTTACTAAATCTAAAATAAAGAAATTGTAGAGAAAGTAAACTAAAAGTCAAGAGAAAAAAAACTAATTTAAGGAGAAAGGAGTTATATATCTTAAGGACCCAAAACCTGAAGTTTCGGGCTAAGATCATGCATCTCTTCTCATGCCACCATCTCCTATATTAGATGCCTTTTGCATGCTGAAATTTACTGGATCTAAGTTTCTTTCATCTAGATCTAAGGTTTTTAGGGATTAAAAAGGAGCTAGGTATCTTAAGTAAGGTTTTACCTAAATTTTTCTAAGGTTGGGAGATGGTTTTCTCTATTTTCCTAAGGGATTTAGGGTCTCGTAATTTCTAATATGAATTTTGGGATTTTTCTAGATTGTTTTGGGAATTTTCCTGATTTTTTCCCAAATTTTTAGGATTTATCTAGGGTTTTTACCTATTTTATATGATTTATTTACTAATTTTGGGGGATTTTCCTAACCTTAGTGCACCTTACTCCCTACCTAAACCATATACCCTAGTGGACCCTACTCCCTACCTAGACCATACACCCTTAGTGCACTCTACTCCCTACTTATACCATTCACCCATAGTGTACCTTACTCCCTACCACCATACACCTCTAGTGTGCCATACCCAAATAACCCAATCCCTCCTAGCCTAGCCTAGGTTTTCTACGGAGGCCTTTACGTAAGGCATATGCCCCCGGCTTGACCTAACGTACTGCACTTGAAATATCCTCAGGGGTACTTAGGCCATTCGCCTAATACCTTTCTATCGTTGCCCACATACCTCTTAGCGAAGGTGCCGTCGGAAGGCTGTTGGATTCACCAACACGAACCTAGCGTACCCCCTCTCCACCTAGCTCACACGAAACTGGCCTGCCTCTCTCTATCTAACTCACATGAACCTAGCCTATCTCTTCACCACCTAGCCGACACGAATCAAGCCTACATCCTCTCCATCTAGCCCACACGAACTTAGACTACCTCCATTCCACCTACTCTATATGAACCCCTAACCACACCAGACCCTCATCGAGCCAACTTGACCCAAACCTTGAACCGCACCCAACGTACATCAAGCCAACTTGACCTAAACCCCGAACGACACTGAACCCACATCGAACCAACCTAAACCTTTCACAAACCCATTCAAATCAAACATTGACCCAAGTCTACTCTCAAGGCTATTCAAGCCAGGGACAAACCGAGGAGTCCATATGATATGAACCACAGCGTGGGAGCGATTTGAGAGAGGGAGACGAGACGGAAGGAGTGTAAGGGGGTTGAGTCTAAACCATGTCCACAAGAGCGACCATGGAGCTTTCCGCGGATGCACATATGAGCCATGATCTAAGAGAGCGACAAACTGAGGTGTACTCGACCTCTACACTTCGAGGTAAGCCTTACCTCATTTCAAATTTTATTGGTTCGTACCGCACCACACTACCCACCTTATCCGCTATGGGCAAACATTCAGGGTCACTCACATGTGCACACACAAGCGCACGAATTGTTGGTTCCTCTCACATGCACACTAGCGACCAACTGGCAACTCCACTACAGACACACCACCCAATTGTTGGTTCCTCTCACATGCGCACTCACCGTGCTCGCTCCTTGAGCTACAATCACAACCTGATTGGGGAGTCCATGCACTCCTACATCTGGATCAGGGATTTCATTATCCCCGCATCTGTGAGCTTGTCCCAAGGGAGCTGGGTTCCAAACAGACCCGTTGTGCCCACTTTCCTGGTGTGAAGTGGCTTGACGATCCGCACTGGGGCTCATGCCCCTCCTGGGTCGAGAGGGGACCCTATGGTTCCCTTCCTCCCCATCTGCGAACCTCACCGGGAGCCGCGCGTGCACCTTGTGTGGGTGACCCTAAGGCCACCCCCACTCTCATGCTTTCAGTCACCGGC